ATTTTCTTGAGATTCAATTGATTGAAGCATTTCTTTCCCTCACATCATCACTCATACATCTAAAATTAATTGCTTCTGGTACATTATTCCATGGAAAATGATGGGAAAAATTTATACAAATAAATTTACTTCAATTAGATAAATTCGAATTCTTTTTTTTTGAAACATGAATCTTCAGAATTTACAAAAGCAAAAATGGAAAAAATCAGCAAACCGTTTCGAAGATCGTTTTTTGAATTAAAAATAAAAAGTGGTTTGTTAATTGTGAAAATGATGGTAGAATAACGTTTGAAAAAATGTCATTCGAAGATGATGTTCTAGATTCTTTTTACAAAATCTTTATTTCTCTAAAAAATAACAGTATTGCAGCTCTTGTGTGCTTTCTTCAGCGTGAAAAAAAGAAAACAAACTTTGAAAATAGGACTGATCCAGGTCACGTGATAATCACGCATTAACTTTGACACAAATAGTTTAATTACTGACGCATCTAAACAGAAAACGCCATTTGTTTTTGTTTACACGTCTGCCTGTGCGAATATTATAGTGTCTCAAATAATCTTTTCACCAAAAGTTTCTTGTGCTATTGCTAATTGATTTTTTTCTCACTGTCGATCTGTGTTTGGTGTCTCCAAAAGATCGCATGAAAATAAATTTCTGAACACAGAATTGACAAACAATCTTGTTCTAATTGAATGACTGTTGCAAAATGTTCAAATGTTTTATTATATGGACAAGCAATATGGCAGGGTTGAGATCGTGGCGACGAAATGTCATGTATAAAGTGTGCAGAATTGTACAGACGCATACACGATAATATATCAGTTCAAAAGTATAGAATAAGAAACGTTCATGAATTGATCAAAGTTTCGATAGAATCGAGATACACGCATTCTTGTTCTTCTCCCATTCACCGAATAGTAAGCAATGCGTGATGAGTACCCATATCGTATATTTTCTGAAGTTGAATTAACATCAGAAAAACAGAACTATACACTTCACCAGAGCGAAAATTAGCCCTTTTCGTTTTTAACGCTTCAGTCCAAATTTATAGGGTTTCTAAAGCAAACACCAAGGTTTTCGGTAACTCCGCGCATTACAGAATTGATTGATTGTTCCGTTTCTGGAAGATCTTCAAATTTTTTACTCATCTCTGAGCTTCGCGAAGTTTCGAAATCATATTCATTTAAAAGCATTCGTCTCACATATTTTCTACTGTATGAACATCGTATATGCATTTTTTTCTTTGACTCCAGAAATGTACTTTCATTTTTCAAACACAATTTGTTCGATGTGATTCTGATCTAATTTTCCTTCTCCAATGTGTATTGAATGGAATACAAATCATTGTTGTTCGTAGCTAATTTTTTGGTTGGTAGCTATATCTTCAAGAACATTCCGTCTTTCTCACATAAAGTGTCATATCAATGATTTCTCTTTGACAAGACAGAACAATACATATGATCATCCAAGAAAAACCAAATTATCTAACTGAAAATGTATGATGACCGATAGTCATAATAATAAACAGCTGAAATTTAAATCTTCAATTTCAATTTCTATGTAATAGTCAATATATGATAATCACGATTCTCACCGTGCACGAATGTACAAACAGCAGATAGTTGATAATAACAATGTGCTGATCGTAAAAGTTGCAACACTATAATATGCGATTGGATGGCAATACGTGTGTATTTCTGTTGAATCATCAAATTGAATTTTTCTTTTGACATTACGTCTTATTGCTAAGAAGATACCGTTAAAAATAAATATACATAGAATTAATATGATCATGATTATAATAATAATGCAATTAATTATCCAATATCGACATTTATATGCACGTGTTGAATTTGAATCATCGGGAAATTTTGTTAAACTGACATGTCTATTCGATATAAGAATAAAAGGTCCATACGCTTCAAAAAAAAATCCAGAGAGATGAAATAAATACTTACAAGAGACACAAGGCAACAAAAAGAACTAGACCTGAACTTGATGAACCCAAAATAACTTAACACATCGGAATCCAGTGATTGATTGGACACTGATTTTGAAAATAAAGACCAATAGTTATTGCAACGAATGGTATTACTGAGAAAATTGATATTAAAATAAACCGATAAAATATATTTTAGCAATATATATATTGTCAACTCATGTTAACTGCTGACATGAAATATCTAGTACAACATTTGGCATTCACTTTTGTTTGATTGGTGTTCTCTTCTAATTTTCCATCGCTTCAATGTCTGTCGGTATTGGATCCATGGTTTTGTAAGTAAGATAATAAATCTATAAAAAATTAAATTGTACATTCAATATTATTCTTTTGTTTTTATATTTGTCTCTACTATAGTGAACGATAGATAATCATGTGTACATTGCGTACGAACGATTGTTATATCTCTTGACAACACGCTGTATATTTTCCTTGCTTAGATGATTGCAACAAAAAAATAAAAACAAACTGATGTCATCGTCGTTCTGTTTCATCTTTCCAAAGAAAAAAATATTACGACCTCTATAAGGCTTTAGCTCGTTCTTTTTTTTTCTTTGGCGCGCGACTATTCTTTAGTAATAGTTCGTGGAGAAGTTGTCGAGGTCAAGGCAAACTCAGACTGCACTCCAGCTACGAACACATTGTGAATAAACAGTTCTGAATATGGGCTATCCTTTCGAACACTTGTCTCGCACTGTTCATAACGTGTTCTTAATGACGTTTGTTATCACCACACTAAAAGCTCATTCTAATTGATTTCCATAGGACATCAGTGAATTAATTTTATATTCTGCATCTATCACTCATCTAATGTTAAAGTGAGACACAAGTTTTTCACGTAAAATTTCCTCTCTTTTACAATTCTCTGAAGTAAAGAAGTCTTGTAATAGAAAACAATGAGAAAAAATATTAAAAAAAATGAAGATATAGACTTTAAAATATAATACAATAGGTCACAAATTGAAGAAAATTATTACAAAGAAAGATTCCGTGACGAATCAACAAATAAGAAAAACGTTCTTTGTTCGAAAAAGATCTTATTTTTAATAATAATTTACTGTTGAAATTATTGTTGATTCTCCATTTCCGTCATTTGTTGTACTTTTGTTTAACTTCGATTGTCAATAAATTCTGTTATGTTATTTTAAAAAAAATTGATGGTGTATATTCATTTGAATCTTCATCATTATTATTATCATACTCATTCAAAAAATAAAAATAAAAACAAATATTAAGACTGCAGGAGATAAAATTTTGAGACATTCCAAAATAAACGAAATTCGACTGATCTCCTTCAAATATCTGCTCTGATTAACTATTGATAATATTTTGTTTTTGCTTCATTATCATTTGATTAGCAATTGAAATAAGAATATCTTTCACATTCACTATTGTGGAAACAAATAAGTTAGAAAAAATATTTAAGATATATAGAAAGCTCTAAAACAAAATATTGCTTATATATTCATCGTGAATTTGTTTTTTTTTTCTCACAGAACGATCTCAATAGAAAAATTTTAGATAAAATATTATTAAATACGGTTTAGAAATTGACTTTGCAGTAAATATGAAATCGATTAACACGAACATCATTAGCAGTATGTACAGAACTACGGTCGGATTCATTCGTAATAAAAGCTGAGATTCGAATATTTAGAAGTCGGAAAAAAAATTATCCATAAAAATGAATTATCGAAACCAAATTTCCATGAACAATCATTGTATACCACACTTCAAGAAATACTTTACTTAATAAAGTGTTATCTTTCTCGAAAGATTGCCGTTGTTCAACTACTTTTCAATAACAGCTTCTAGAAAGAAGACAAGAATGCATATAGAAGGAACAATCATTATTAAACGTATTATTACGTTTCGTACATGTTTATTTTGTACGCACATCGATCTTGAGATCTAATGACGTTTAGAGAAACATGTTCGAATAGCTCAGTAATGATAGAGCAAAATTTCGAACATTAGTTTCGAATGTCCAGAATTTAGCCGATATACGATGAATCATCATCAAAGAATTACTTTTTCCCTTGATTTTTGCTCCTGCCTTATACATCGGACAAATTAGAGGGTGATAAGATATAAAGTTAAACAAATATTCTCACTCTTTCATCTACCTTTAGTTTATTTGATATGTATCGATTGTGTTCTACGTACATGTTTATGGAATAGTAAAGAGAAATCAAACTAACAATCAACCATGACATGATACAATGAAATGATATGGTCACCCATCTCTGCATAAGGGTATGGGTGTGTAAATGTGGGTATGATTTTGACTATTCGGATCATCTTTACACCCACATTCACGCCGTAACTGTTTTCTCATGCATACGTATGGCGCTATAAAGATTGTTATAAAAAACTATTTGATCATTAAACAGCAATTAAAAAAATGAAAAATGTGAGGGAAGAATCTTAAATTAGTCAAGGTGTAACCAGATGTTCTTATAGGATAAATCACTTCAATTTGAAACTAGAATTTATATATTATGCTCATTACATTGAAAACTCGCTGAATTTTGATCGAAATGAGATAGCGAAACGAATGTTATCTCATACGGGACGATTCATATAAAAAGAGAGACGAGCGCGAAGTGATTGTTCTCAAAATTTTGCTGAACAATACACATCTCTGTTACATATTTGAGGTTCCTCTGACGTTTTGAAAATTTATTTCAGGTTAATTATCCAATTTAGTTATTGTCGTATGATTTTATGTATATTGAATAACTATAAATTCAATATTAAAACACCTGAAAATTTCTTAGCTCTATGTATCTCGTTGATGATTATTGATTAGAATAACAGGTAGCAAGATGTAACTAAATCTAACAAAATTTTCATTATTACTTTTATACTTTTGAAGTACCTTTCCTATTAATGAAGATTTGAGAAACAAACGCGAGTTTATTATAATTATCTTGCTACACAAAACAGAAAAAAAAACAAATTTTGATAGTTTAATCACAACTTAATATGAAATCATTTACATTTGATTTCGACTGGGATATTGTCTTTGGAAGTTTCTTGAAAAAATATTTTGTACATTTGATAATGTTTTATACAATGGCTCAAATATTGCTAAATCATTGTTTGTAGTCTGTTTTTGTTCATTATTTATAATTACTTCTAATGATGTTTTAACAGACGAAAGTATAAGATGAAGATCCAGTAAAAGACTATATGTATCACGTGGACTTAAACCATTTTCATTAACTAATGATGTTTCAGAACTTTGTTTAAAAAAATCTAATGCATAACTGTTCAAATAATATGATGTATTCGTATGATCACGACAATCAATATCAACAAATGGAACAACTTTTGGTGATAGATCAAGACCATAAACAAGATCCCATGAACTAATAATTGAATTATAATTTGACAGAAATTGTTCATGTGTAAGACCAGATAGAGCAACAAATGACGATATTGATGGATTTTTTATTTCTTGGGATTGATGATAATGAAGATTATATTCAAATGTTCCATTATTATAACCAGGTTTTTGAGAAAATGATGTATTCGAAAAAGACAAAATTTCTTCTTGTTCATTATTTAATGAACGTAAATATTTTGTTACATTTTCTATATAACATCCATATACATCTGTAACTATTGAATTATATTTATCAACACGTTTTCGAAATTCCTTAGAAATTGTTGGTAAAAATAATTTCAAATTATAGTTAGATTCTCGTCGATATACTGATAGATCTTGGTATTTACGACGTATCATTAACCTATAAAATATACAGAATATATATAAATGATGACGTTCATCTATCCTACGTTCTGAGTTGGAGAATCAGTGTCTTCTGGTAATATTCAAAACAAAAACTTCTGTTGATTTTGAAAAGAACGATTGTTGAGATCTCATAGTCATTTCATTTTTTAGCGAATGTAGAAGGGTGAGTGAGGCATCGTCCTACATTGGTTTTAGATATGATCAATATGGCACAGTAGAAAATTTTCGACTTCCAATCTATTTCTTCTCGTTGTAATAATAAAGAAGTATATTATTCATGTGTATCTAATTATGGACATCTTGTAGAAATAAAAGAAAGACTATTGCTTTACCTTAGTTAATTCAATATGATAAGAGGAATCGAACTGTAACATTTTTTTCACATGTACTAACTACTATTTAACGGAGATATATAAAGAAACCAAAGAGAGATGTCCATAATATTAAACTCAGTCGAGTATAGCATGCTGGAGAAACGAAACCAAAGCTTTTGACATATTGTGAGCTCAGTATCTCATAGAAGACAGCATCTAGAATGAGAATTTTCGCTCAATTCTTTGAGATATATATGTGTTCTGAAAATTTCAAATTTTTTTGTGATATCTCGGAAAGTAATGAGAAACCTTATTATCAAGACATTTTCATTAACTTACCATGGCATATAAGTAAAGAGATAAGCAAATATAGTCATAATATAAATTTCATCTTTAACTAAATGAAAATATTGAGTATCCATAAGATAGACAAGCAAAATATTTGCTGGTTAAAAATAATGTAAATGTGTTAGAAGACTAGCTAAACCAATAAGATTACCATATTGATTAATTAAATTTAATCGATAAAGAAAATCTAATGTAAATAAACCATGAAAATGTATTTGAATATCTATCAATTGATGTTTTATAGACGATTGTGCAAGTAAAGAACATTGTAATGCAATTAATGATCGATTTATTGCATCGTTTGAATCTTTAGCATTAAATAAATGACTAATCTTTGGTAAAGGTATATCAACAAATACAACCTGACCTTGAACATCAAAACCACGATGAGCAGCACGACCTGATGATTGTCGATATTGTAATGCATCAAGATAGATTGAATCTTTAACAAAAGCAACAGTTTTTGTTGACATATGAATGCCCAAAGCCAAGAAAAATTAGAGAACTTTTATTAATTTATATCCTAGAAGATGAGAGCAAAAGGTGTTTTACTATTGACTCCTTTGATTAACGATAATAGTAAGAATAAAATGAAGAAAAGCCTTGATTAGCTGAAAGAATTGACCATTAAAAGAGTTACTTATTAAAAGCCTGTTTACAGGCTAGAGTACTGCAACTCGATCCGACCCGCGACCGGATTCGGGGTGCAACTTTCGTAGGTCGGCTCGGGCGGAGTGGTGCGGATTTCTTCGGGTTATTTTTCTTAGAACTTATTTGCCTACTTTCTGTTTCTGATGTACCTTATGGACGAAAAGAGTGAAGTGCTAGTCTATTGGATGATTTCTCAGCACAATACACGATTACATGCGGAATAGATTTCTTTGTTCGCAAAAAATAAAAAATTCTTCTAGGATTGAAGTTCGTTTTTCTGACGGATCGGGCTCGAGTTCAAAAAACTCAACCTGTGCAGTACTATATTACAGGCTTATATGGGTGTGGGTGTGGGTGTGGGTGTGGATGGGTGTGGGTGTCGCTGTGGCTGTGGGTGTGGCTGTGGGTGTGGGTATAGGTGTGCGTGTGAGTCTCCTCTTCATTCACACCAACACCCACACCCACACACCCCACACCCACTCCCGCACAACCCACACCCACACCCTTCATTAAATAAGGATGAATTTTTTGCTACTTTGCGATCATTCTTCATCCACTTTTTCGTGAATACTTTGCTGTTGCTATGTGCAGTCCTTTTCAATAGTGTAAACATTTGAGAAGAATTAAAAAAAACGAAACAAAAGAGGCATACAAGTGAGAAACGAAGCAGAATACATTGGCATGATGCAAAAGTAGGAAGCAAATCATTTGAAAAAAAACAAGCAAACAGTACAAGTCTCGAAAAATTTCGATCAACAACAATACTTTTGAAATTGTTCAGTACGTTGTGATTTCAATTACTTTACTGTGGTGAGTAAATTATTAGGAAGATTCAAAAAACAAAACAAATTTTTTTGAATGTTATATACTTAGGACCATACCAGCGTGCATATTAGAAACGACTGAGACCCATATCCCACCGACATATTTATTGAAAAAATCCCTGTAAACCGCGATATCTTATCCTGTATTTTTGCAAAGCATCAGACACCGACAGATAGTTACAACTATAGTCACGATTCATGCCATCAGTTTTTTATAAAGAAAATTTTTCATAGTGTGTGGGTGTGGGGTGTGGGTGGATGTGGGTGTCGGTGTGGGTGTTGGTGCAAGTGTATGTATTCACAACAGATCATGCCGAAACCTTACCCACACCCACAC